TTACGCATTTCTGGCAAAAACTCTTTCATTCTTTTAGAAAAAAATATCAAGGAATTCTCCGCAATTCCGAAGCAACGTCTGGACTTTGGCATATCCGTCGACGAATCGAAGAGACCTACTACTTCAAAGAATCTGATGCGTGCCTATAAAGATCTGTCTGCGGAGATAATGGGAATCAGTGGAACTTATGTGAAAATCGAAGATGAGATTTGACGTCGTTGCGACCTCCGCGGATCGTTAAATAAAGAAATTTATTTATTTTGGTTTTTGAATAAGGTGTCTTCTGTGAAAGTGATTGGATGCAGATACTGATCTATTTTAATAATCGATGCAAATTTACACTACCCCCAGGACCTCCAACTCTTGGGGAACGACCTGAAGTTCTGGTCACTATTTTTGTGAGCGGACGGTTGCCAGGCCTGAAGATAGAGCTCAGTCGAGGGCAGTTACCCACGCCCATCATCTGGCGCAGTGCCGCCTATTCCGGGTCTGTCCATTTGCATGCCTACTCACCAATCGGGATTAAGTGATAACGCACATTTCGTTGATCGGGTTGGTAGAACAGGGCTGTAGGCGCTCCCAACGCATTGCATGCGCTAAATTCCAGAGTGGGAAGGTTAGGGTTTGGGCATCTGTGCCACTACTTCCTTCAAATCCTCTCTTGCACACATCTCGTTAGTTGACGGCAGCGTGGTGATGGGATCATAGAGAGTAAAGGGCAGGGGGACTCCCTCGACGACATTACATTCGCAGCGCTAATGTCTTTTTTCTGCACCTTTTTTAGATCCAATTGAGTCCTGCTTGAGCACAACAGGGCCCATTGGCGCACTATGTCCTCGCACACAAATAAGGGACTACAATTTGCCCTTATAGCATCGCTCATATTGTGCAACTTTGCATGAGACACCGGCACAAGTAGTGCGCTGCCCAAATTAACGTGAGATTATTACGTGTGTGCATTGCACAGCGCTCCTGGCAAGCTGGGTCGAAGTAGGGGGCATCGTTGAAGGCACACGATAGACTATTTTTCGGTGTAGTAATTTTATTACAGGATCATTTTTGAACTACGGAGGACTTGAAATCGAAATGCCGCACTTACAGAAGGGGTTGGATATGGGAATACAAATTCCCTCCCGCTATTGCAGATGGTTGTGCTCTAAATTCCAGGGCGGGGAGGGTTAGAGGTAAAGTTAGGACACTGTAGTAGGAACCGCTGAAATGTAAGTCAGGCCCAAAGGTAGTGCAGGGGACGGTCCATATTCCGTGTCGAACCACAGAACAAACAACATGCTGAGGGGCGCTGAATTAAAGGTACTTTTTGTCTCTCCCTCCAGTAAGGGAGGGAGGTCAGAGTTGACGGTAATAGGAGCTTCTGGAATGTAGCGCGATGCAACCAGTAGTACAGGAGGTAGGAAGGCTATCCCTTGCCCAATCGTAAAACGAATAACAGCGTGTTGATGGGCGCTGGATTATAGACACTTTTTCCCCTACCTCCCCCCTCCAGTCTTTCCACCCGGAAGTCCGATAATGAGTGCATGAAAAATCTTGAAAAGCATAAATTCGAATGCGCTACCCGATAGGTAAACATAACCCTTGTATCAAATTTCACCGCAGAGCTTACTCCATTCCCAAACATAATCGCGGTCATATCGTTCACACTGGGTTTCATCGGAATTCTAATCTGAACTGCACTCCCCCAAACTTAAGCGAACGAGCAAGCCATCATACGTCCGCTTCTGTGTGAACTATCTGTGTTATTGCAGTGTTGGCTCCATCTGTCACAACAGACGCCATCTCTAGGTACCCGAAGATCATACTCTTGCATTAAGCAGTCGTGAAGTTTGCTGACTGCATTTTCTATCGGTCAGGTGCACTGCAACGCCGAGGATGCGTGCTTTGTCTCCATATTGGGAATCAAAGAAAACTCGTGTTTCGAATAGTGTGAAAGCCACGCTCCGACGATCTTTGATAAGCAAAGGCAATAGGTAGATGTGAACTTCCCGCTTGTTAACGTAGCACACATTGGAATGAAACATGTCATTCGTTGGTTTTCCGAATGAGGACTGTCATCCCACGAATGACAACGAATCTTGAGGTTTCTGATTTAATACTGGTATTTGCGACGGGCTCATTTATGCAGAGGCGCCTAGGGACGTGGAACGTTCTCGCAGGGTACCTAACTAATCGCACCCGATTGCTCATTCGTGGGGTCCAGTGTGTCCTTCATCTGTAGGGCTCTTTTGCCACAACTGGCACACAGTCACTCATCGATCTCTTGGAATGTTAACTTAAATTTGGAAATTTGTTTCAACGATGAAGGATTACTTAGGTGGGACGGTAAAAATGTTTGTCGTGCAGCAAAACCACTGGATACTTCAATCGTGCCAGGACCTCGGCATTTGGCAAAACTACCCACTTTAGTAGTTTGCATTATTCCGTTGAGGACGCAACATCGGAGACGAGTCTCATACAGCAAGAGAAGAAGAATGCGCCTAGATCATGCCTAGAGTCCCTACGTCAGAGCCCCAATTGCATCCGGACGAAGTTTTTCCTTACCGAGTTCCCCGATTGGCAATAAAGTCGACGCCGGGCAGCAGTAACTATCCACTAGCTCAGGAGCTGCAATGTCTAGGGGTCGGGAAACCCGATGTTGTCGTCCGTATTCTCGATGACTTTATCCTTGCACTCGCCCTGGCTGCCCATGCGAACCCTCATTAACGTGGTTTAGTGAGAAGATAAAATCGAAGGTAAGAAGCGTTTATATGATGTCACATGATTATTAGGAAGTCAATAAAATCAAAGCGAGCGTCACCGGAGATATAATTTATTAGGAACCATCGCGGGTACGCATCCTTCAGGAGTGATTTTCAAATAACCGCCTGTCTCAAGTTCCACCCACCTAGGAGAGTAAAATTCAGGACCTTTGGGTAATAAAATAAGCAAATTTGATTGTATGATCTGGAAGCTGATACTTCTATTTTACGGGTTCGATGGAAGATAAAGGAATCAGCAGACCCACAGGTTGTCTGAGAATGTGATGAAATGTGCATGACACTAAGATTGGTACTGACAATTTTAACACTTTCGTCTAGAAAAGACATCCTGCAGTAGAAAAAACTACATTAAGTGAATAAACGGTACTTGCGATGGGCTCATTTATGCAGAGGCGCTCGCAGTTGTATACTTGCTTTCCGCCACTCAGTTTCGCTGTTGTAAAATATTTGCCTAAACATACACAATAGAGGCAAAAGTATTAACAACAGTCGTTGTGTCTTACTGACGGCCCCCACCATTGTACGCGTGTCCGCAAAATGGAATTCGTTGTTCTTCCCCGGAATGTGGGCGGCGACTTGAGACAGCGAGTCACCTCTTCGTTTTTACTCGCACATTTGTTAGCTGAGCTATTGTGCTGTCTGACTGGCTAAGGGTCATGGGAAGTTATGGCAGGGAATCTAACTAATCGCACCCGATTGCTCATCCGTGGGGTCTGGTGGGTCCTTCATCTGCATGGCTCTTTTACGCAAAACTGGCACACAGTCAGTCATCGATCTCATGGAATGTTAACATAAATTTCGAATAGCGTTTATGATTAGGAAGGATTACTTTGGTGGGGTTGTAGAATTGTTCGTCGTGCAGTCATACCAAGAGCTCGGAATTCGGTAAAAATGCCCACTTTAGTAGAATGCAGTTTTCCGTTGAGGACCTAACATCGGGGATGATTCACAGGCAGTTAGAGTGGGCGCCGTTTATACTGGCGCATCCAGACAATGGGTACTGGGCTCTCTCCTTGACGCCTGGATCATGCCTAAAGTCTCTACGTCAGAGGCCCGAGTGCATCCGGACGAGGTTTTTCCTTACCGAGTTCCCGGTTGTCAATAGCGCCGACGCCGGGCAGCAGCAACTTTCCACTAGCTCAGGAGCTTCACTGTCTAGGGGTCCGGAAACCCAATGTTGTCGTCCGTATTCTCGATGACTTTATCCTCCCACTCGCCCTTGCTGCCTCTGCGCCCTCCCCCTCCCCCGCGTGACAACATGTAGGATCGCTCAAAGGCAAGGACAGCATTAAGAAAACGAGATCATCCACGCTGCTTTTGGATGTTTGTTTTCACAGTCGCCTTCAAGATCTCCCCTGTAGACCGTAGTCGTCATTATGTACCTAATAATACTATCATGCAGCAAAATGCCGCTACTTTACGTATGTCGGGGTCCCAAAGGTTCATCTGTACTTTGTTAGCCGGCCAGCACGATGCATTTATTGTCGGGCCAATGCTTCTGAGAATGAATACCACCTCATTTCGTAGTGAGAATCAGCTGATTGGGAGGATACCTTGCATACAAACATGATCACTGCACTTCTGAGGGACAGTCGGGACTTTGGCCCTGTTTGACTGCTTCATTGTATTTGGAAATAAAACAGGGCAAGGTGAAACTGGAGTTTATGTATCAGAAAACACATTGATGAGTCGAACCCCCCGCAGTTGCATCAGACAGCGGCAGAAGATCGGCGAAACCCGCGTGTCTGGGCTTTTAGCTTGTACCTGTGTTGTCAGTACGGTAAATAATTACACAATATTGGCCTATTCGACAGTCTGTAACGTTTTGTTACATTTAAGAAAACGAAGTAAGACTCAAAAACTGCATTACGAAATGTCCTCTTCTAGATGTCAAGTGTAGAACTCCAGACATTCACCTGGCACTCTCCCACCAGTTTCTTTAATGTCGGCAGTTTTCATGCAGTACCATATTTCTCTGAAAGTGATTGCTTTGTCAATTTGCTTTATTTCAGTCGGCACCTCTGGACGATGTCCTTGGGAGTTCGTAGGCTCGGTAGCAAGTGTTCGGATGGTTAAAATTCGTTCCCGGTTTGAAAATTTAAAAATATGGATTGTCTGTTATCAGGTTAGCGATAATGAGACCGTCCTCTTGAACTCCATAAAACTCGACTTACGGTAAGCGATGTGAGTTTTGATTATCTAATTGATTGGATCACGTCACAACCAATGAGTGACCTCCTGCAAGTGTGTCAGGCAAACCGTCACTCGAGATTTCAGCGTCTCACCGAAAGCATGTCGAAACAATACCCCTATACTCTGTACAACTCGGAGGAACCTCTGCCAAAAGTTCTAGTCAAAAGAGCGTCGAAAGAGCTGGGCGAGGTGCAGGGTCAAGTTGGTGCGCATCTTGAGAGCTTTCGACGATGGCTATCCTCCATGCCACATCTCAAGTGTCGCACAGGTTGGTCTGATGACTTCTTTAATTGTTCTCATCAAAAACTAACATTCTCTCATGCATTATTTTAAATTGCAATCACCTTTGAGATTGCCAACTGGAGGACTGGAGTGCAAGGCTACAGTTCTGCCAAATACATTCTGAGACAGAATCTGTTGTTGCCTCATGTTCAAACGTTCGTGAAACGTATGAGCTTCGAAGGCCCTCTTAAACAGCTTTGTCAAGATGAACGGACTTAAACAAATCCAATATGCCTACTTTCAAAATTGCCCTTCTTCGAGGCAAGCGAAAATATTCCACTGCATCAAGTAGACAGTCATTGCATTTCTGCTTCTTTATTTGCAAAATCTTCCGACGTCACCCACATTTTGAGTCATCATGAGAAAGCATTATCTTCCAATTTTATTCTCGACGCCAATTTTCACTAAATACAATGTGTTTTCTTTTTGAATGCTTGCTTCAACAGATGATGCATTCCTCTTGGCTTTTCTGCGGCATGCGAAGTTCAATCACTCGAAAGCACAGAAACGTCTGGACAATTTCTGCACTTTTCGGACATCTGAATCCGTTGGAGCTCCATCGTGGTTCAACTATGAGGAGGACAAACTAGAAGTTCTCATGGATTTTGCAAACAGAAAGTGAGTTGAAATGTGCCCGTGGTGTTAAAATTGTCGGAGATTCTGCGGTTAGTTTGGCCTATCGAGTTGCAATTCGCGACGACGCCCGGACTGCAGCCACTCGGTAGACCAATACAGCCAAAGGGTATTTACATATCATAATCTAGAGTTAATAAGAAAAGTCCAAATTTCTGCTAACGGGAAAGGTTTAATATCAAATTCCTGTGTTGATAGAAGCGAACAAACGAGTTTCAGGAAGCGGTTCAGAAGACGAAGATGCGATCACTGGAACAATAAATTTTTTGGCCTGACGTTTCGGATTCTCACTCTAACCCATCAAATGACGAACGACGAGACCCGGCCATACTTTCAAGTTTTAAGAGGCAAGAGGTGACGACCGCGTGAGCCGCGAGCTGCTGGAGTCATATTTCACAGGCCCGCAATCCATGAATAAACACAATGACCTCCCGTTACCGTATTCTTTGCTGAGATTTTCCCTGGGCAAAGTAATCAGTCACGTGGGGAGGGCGCGAGTGAGCAATAATCCCAGTGACAGTGCACCAAGTTGCCGAGCCATCGTCACACCAGCATCCAACACGGATGACGAAATCGCGGCCATTAACGCCACGGAAGCGGACCGACAAGCCATCATCCCATCCACTACGACCCCAGCGGTAATTGCGAGAGCTGTTAATTATAGTGCGCATATGGCCCCACGGCAGTCACGTGCTATGAATACTGCACTCCTGGTGCCACCATCACCTTTATCTGCGGATGTCTCTGATGATGCGTTTGAGTGAGAATCCGAAACGTCAGCCCAGTAAATGTCTTGTTCCTGTGATCGCATTTTCGTCATCTAAATTACTGTGTGATTATATATTTCGAAATAAGTTGGACGATTATGCCTGTTTCCGACAAAAATATCCCAATAAAGTCGCCATACTTCTACCCTATCGGAAATTTCAGGCTTATCTCCGTGCTCGGTTTCACGCAAGAAGGTGTGGTCTGCATTCTGATGAAAGTGGGTAAGCTTGCCTATTGAGATTCCTCAGGATTTGTTTAGCGAACTGGCCCCAGTATGCTGCTAATCCACAGGAATTGAACAAAGCATGGCAAACATGGAACGATGCATTTATCTGCGACGAACGTATACAAATAGGAGGCGGTGCATTTATCATGGACTTTGAAGGAATTACCAAAAGAGAAATTGTAAAATTCCAGGATCCACATGCGTCGAAACTGAGCGCAATGTATTATCAGGTACGTACCTGAGAATACTCAGGCTGATTTTGAAATCTCAATTTAAGTACTTCCAGAACAGTCAAACTTCTGAGCATTGCTGATTGAGCTTTAGTCATCTGACCTCGTAGAGAAGATCTGTGGGCCTCATTAACTTGTTTCATGGTCACGCATTTAATGAGTTACTGTCCATCCCAATAAGTCGATGGCTTAGTTGACTCAAACCTGCCAAACGAGAGGTATGTCTCAACGCAGCTGAAAGCACCCTGATATAATTCCCTGCAGAACTGGGTGTCATGTTTAGAAAACTAAGGCAACATACGAACATAAGTACATCATTGTCATTCCGCATCTTCTGAGGCAGTAAGAAGTTTTAATTTACTGCTTTTATTACCGTGAACAAGTTGAAGCATTTGCTGTCGGCTCTGAATTATAGTGGCCATGGCGATATTAAATTAACTAAGAGAATTGGTTTCCATAACCTGATGGCAGCCGCCTTTGCTGTTGCTAACAGGTGCTGGCCCAGTAGTTTAGGATTGCTCAATGGGACCTTTTAAATCACACGAAAAGCTTCGCAGGGGCTTCCAAATTAACTTAGACACTAGTATTGGACACTATTGCGTAAACGAGAAAAACGAAACGAAGAGACGATGTTTCTGGCCATTTCGGTGTTTTTGTAGCGTCCACATTCATATACGTCTAGAACGGCCGATTTATTGGCATGAAGGGCAACCAAAAATAGAAAAAAATCTTCCTGTCTCCAGAAAGCGAAATATTCTCAGGTTGACTTATTTTTTCCAAACTAGAGATAACTTCGAATTGCAGTTTTGGGATAGCATCTTTGTTGTACGAATTAGCCGATGACGTTAATATCAAATGTCATTTTGTCTACCACACTAGAAGAGCGGTAGATTTACACACTGCCCATTTCCTGGACGTAACTCGACTTGTTATAGTCCACTTGTGAATCCACATCATGTCCATTGAGAAAATTCAATGATGTGATCTAAAAGTGAAATTCAGTCTGTTATTTCAGGGTTTGACAGTTTGATGGAACAGTCTTCATTAACTAGTTGCAGTCATGCTTTAGTCTAGATGATATAAGTTAAGACTTGTCTTCCCTACAGGTTGTCGCAGGAGAATGAGTTACGCTTTGAGGCGAAGTTCATAGAACTCAGTTTGTAGCTTTTTCGTTTTTTTAAAAATTAACTGCCAACTTGGGGTAGTTCAGTATATTTAAAGACTATAGTCTCAGACATGAGTTTTTATGTATGAATATTTGAGCGAAGTCTATCAACCACAGCGGATAACCGCATAATATTCACTAAGTGCCGACAGGCAGCTAGTAGTATACTTTGGGGTAGGGTGATTCCTTACTAACAGCACAGGTATTAGTCAAAAGCACATAGACGCGTGTTTCGCTGATATTCGGTCGCTGCATGGCACAGCTGCGGGGGGTTCGGCTCGTCAGTGGGTTCCCCAGCATTCCCTGTCTGCTTTCTGGTAAATACTCCAATTTAGGAATTTGGGCTTTTTAATTTCCTTAGAAATTAACTGCCAACTTGAAGTAAATCCGCTGTGGCTGATGGACTTCGGCCCAAATATTCATACATAAAAATTTAGGTCTGAGCGTATACACCTTAACTATATAGAGGCTTTGAGCCGGAATCCATAGAAGTCAGTTTGCTAATTTGGACTGACTTCCGAGGGGATACGTATAACCTCAATGAAGCCTAAAAACCGAGTAAACCCAAACAGGTCAAACTACATTAATGCAAACTAGGAATCCAGTTGCTAATTAGGTGTCTTTTCAGCCACATTTTGAAGCTCACATGAAGGAATAGCTTACTAGGTGGTTTGTGTTTCCTGTTGATTTCATAGCCTTTCTAAAGTCAGTTATATTTTATGGAAAGAATCCACAAAACTCATTTACATCTTATCTCTGAAAACATACGGTTACTAAATGCAGATAACTTTAAGAAGCAGCGTAATCCTATTCATATAGTACTTTTAACTATCAAGAGATTGAAGGGAGGCATGACGATTCTCAGACTACAACCTATTCAACTGTCACTGTTGTCAACAAAAGCGACAATGCAATCCATCTCTACTTCTGTATTTCGCGATCACCGGGAAGTCTTTTTTTAACATCAGGGGAATAGACGGGTTGTGTTTCAAAATATATACGAGTCATTTTCTTAAAGTCGAGCTGCCACTTTCGGCTTAGGATCATATCCGATGAAGTCAACATTTCCTACAAACTGAGTGTAAGACAAGTCTCTTCCGTGAGTAATTTGTCCTTAATGGAGTTTAACTCAGACATGGACCCGCAACTTAATCAAGTCTGTGCACAAACTAAATGGTGAGTTTTAAAATAAACTACGCAGAAGCAATTGGATAGTATTCCATTCATAAGGCAGAATTTTGCCGTATAGAAAACCGGTTTAGTTTGGATAAATTTTGCACCCACCACGTGAATATTTTTTCTCCATTAGGAAGGCTAACAATAAATTTCACATAACTTTTCATACATTTCGGTGTTGTGTGAAGACCACCATTCTGCATCTTAGCTTCTGCAGGATGCTGATTACTAGGGGTGCCAGATTTGAGCGCCCGTTTAAATTAAAAGCCATATGCTTAGAAAAAATAGTTTATTTTTTGCTAAGAATAACGCCTGGAGAATTGTTATGGAACGTGTCCTTAGACATAGACCATCCCCCGGAAAAGTGCGGCTTTGACTGAAAGTTTGGCTTCTGAATTATTCGAACTAGCAGTAAACATGCCCATTAAAAGACCAAATATACTCGTTAATTCAGCCTGCCTGACGGAAAGGTTTGCTTCAGCACAGACCTCGGCAGCGTGGTGCTTGACTGCAAAGTGCATATGCGAATTGGTGCTTGACTGGCTTGACTTCGTTTCAGTCGGAGTATTCACAAAAAATCACTTCTTTTGTGACCTTGACCAGCAGTAACCAATACTGGTTTCAAATCTCGGCCGCATTGTTGTAGGCTGTTTTCCAGTAAATGATGATAACATGTGCCATCAGAGGCCCACAGTGACAATGCTTAGCCTGGTGATCTGGTCCTAGTAACCAAGTAATCTTGCTTTATTTTTCGAATTGGGCATTCTTTCGACTAACAGAATAGAATTAACACAGACATGCGAGACGAAGAAATTAAACTATTTTAGGCTTGGCACATCAGTTTCAGCGAGTGGTCATTCTCTCTCTTATAACTTCAGCAGTAGGACTTGATCCAAGGGTGTTGATAGTGTTATTTAGTCCCAATACTGGGCCTTGCGTAACCGACTTAATTAAAAATTCTACATTGATTAAAGACTTGAAGGCAACCTGAACTCTAAAGTCTAAACAGGAGCTTTGTCGAGATTATGCTATGTAGGTTTGTAAAAACCTTATGAAATACATGCAGTATCGTGAGCTTGGCGAGGCACGTCACTGAAATAATCCATATAATTTTTTAGGAAGCTATGCCCTTTCGCATAAAAAAGCTGGTCTACCTGAATATGCCAAAATTCTTCGAAGTGTTTTTCAAAGCCTCATTAACGTGGTTCAGCGAGAAGATAAAATCGAAGGTAAGAAGCGTTTATATGATGTCACATGTTTTTTGAGAAGTCAATAAAATCAAAGCGGGTGCCACCGGAGATATAATTTATTAAGAATCATCGCGGGTACGCATCCTTCAGGAGTGATTTTCAAATAATCGCCTGCCTCAAATTCCACCCACCCAAGAAAGCCAAATGCAGGGCCCTTGGATGATAAAATAAATGAAGCTGACTACATGATTTGAAGGCTGATAATTCTTTTTTCCGGGTTCGATGGAAGATAGAGGAATCAGCAGACCCACAGGTTGTCTGAGAGTGTGATGAAATGAGCAAGACACTGAGATTGGTACTGACAATTTTAACACTTTCTTGCATTAATTAATCAAACTAGAATAACAATCCACGTAATCAAACGAATATCTATCATGCATATTTTTGCTCAGAAACATGTTAAGACTACAGTTGCCAGATGATCTCACACGTATTTATTGCGTAATCATCCAAGAAGAATATTCCCTGCATTGTGAATTCTCACAAGCAGTCTAGCATTATTGTACAATAACGCAGCAAGCATCTGACAGTATAATATCTCTTAGCAACGAGAAAATGCGCTTTATTTCACCTATCCGCAGATATTGATTCTACAGAAGGATTTGAAGCCAGCTTATGACAGTGTACCTGGTCTGGAGGAACTGATGCCATCAGAGTACAAGGGAGGCAACTGTTCGTTTGAGGAAATTTGTGGTAAGCAATTTCTTTAAGGATTAATGAATACGGATCCCACAACTGAAGCAACATCATAAATAACTGATGAATCAAATATGTATCGGCCAAACTACTTATTTAAACACCACATTATCTCTTCGAATTGCAGTCGTTTTGTGAGATAATAATCGTGGACAGTGTGGACAAGAGAAGTCGGCGGTGTCAGTGTCAGCTACGGAGCAGGCGGTGGTGGTGGTGGTGCTGGTGGTGGTGGTGCTGGTGGTGGCGCAGATGGATGAAGCGAGGGTGGGGGTGTGCACAGTGGATGTGTTGGATGTGGTGGCTGTATCGGAATTGCGGTCAATGCCGCTCTCGTGGATGCGCATGTGGCCGAATAGGCACATGCGATGAGTGAATGTGCGGGAGTAGTGTGGGCAGTGGAGGCGAGTGCGGTGGGTGTAGGTTGGTGCTCCAGGCACTGGCTCGTCAATCTCTGTGCGATGGATTCGCAAGTGACCGATCCGGTCGATGTGTGAGGTGAAGGTGCGGTCGCAGTGAGGACAGGTGTAGCCCTGATCCTCATCACTGGAGTCGGGGGAGGTGGTGATGGTGTCGGTTGTTGGTTATTGTTCAAATCCTGGTTATTGTTCAAATCCTGGTTATTGTTGTGTGGACCAGGAAGTGTGGTGGAACGCCAAGGTGAGGATCCGTCCGAGCCATCCACCTGCGGCCTCCCTCGTCTCCGGTCTTCTTGACTCTGTCTTGACACCGGGCCCAGGCGGGGGAGGAGGAGAGAGTGTAGGTAGATGCTACGCAAGTCTACTGGCACTATAAACCCCTGCGTAAGTCACCGTCCCTGCTTCCACCGCTGCTGCAGCTGTGGGGCACACGGTGGACATCGTCGAAATCGACGGTCGAACTGTCATTCATTGTTGGGCGCGGGACAGTCGCCTGAGCGGCCGTCGTGGGAGCAGTGGAGGATGAGAAGGAGGAGGAGGAGGAGGAGGAGGAGGAGGAGGAGGATGGGAGTGGTGGTTCAGAAGAATTGTCAGAGCTAGTTGGCGGCGGAGGGTAGGAAGAGGCGGGCGGGGGGACAATGGTTGGTGCAGTTCAAGAGGCGCAATTGATCCGAAGGTGTCCAACAAATCCGATTCGAGCCCGGAATGTCCGTTGACATCGAGGACACGTTGGAAGCGGTTGTGCGGCGACGTTGCGGACTGGGCGAAGTTGTGATTTGCGGGCTTCGCGTTTCGCTTTGGCGGCAGCGATGCGATTGGCTTCGTAGATCGCAGCGCCTGTCTTCACTGTCCTCCTCCAGGTCGGTCGATCGAGTGCGAGCTCTTCCCAGTTGGTCGGGTTGATTTGCAGGCGCTTCAGGGAGGACTTTAGGGTATCCTTGTAACGGCGAATTCGGCCTCCTTGACGGCGAGAACCCGTCGCGACGTCTATGTAGAAGAGTCGTTTGGGTAGTCGCTCGTCGTCCATGCGCACCAGGTGGCCGCTCCAGAGCAGCTGTATTTGCCTCAGTATGGCGTAGATGCTGAGGATTCCCGTTCGTTCCAGTACTTCCGTGTTGGGGATTCGATCCTGCCAGTTCAGCCTCAGGATGCGACGAAGACAACTGAGGTTGAAGTGGTACACTCGGCGTGCCTACTTTGTGTACGCCGTCCAAGTCTCCGCTCCATACAGTAGCGTCGGCAGGATGACGGCCTTGTACATCTTTAGCTTCGTGCTCAGTTGAAGTCCGTGGAGATTCCAAACTGTGCTTTGGAGGCGACCGAAGGCTTGACTGGCTTTCGAGATCCTGTTGGCTACTTCGTCATCGATCTTGGTGTTGCGGGAGAGGGTACTGCCCAGATACGGGAAGTTCTCCATCACTTGCCGTTGGGTCCCATTTACGTTTATTTGCGTCGCGTTGGGGGGTGTGACTGAGTGGGGTGGCGGTTGGTGCATCACCACCGTCTTCTGCGTGTTGATGACCAGACCGAAGTTCTCGCAGTCGGCGGAGAACAGGTCCATGCTCCAGTGCATCTCCTCTTCCGAGGTTGTGTTCAGGACGCAGTCGTCGGCGAAGAGGAGTTCGTGCACGGTGGTTGTGGATACGCGCGATTGGAAGTTCATGCGCCGTTTATTCAGGAGATGACCGTCCGTCCTGTAGGCGATGCGGATCCCGTGGCGTTAGTCGCAGTAGGCGTCCATCAGCATGGCAGAGAACATAAGACTGAAGAGTGTTGGCGCCAGCACGCAGCCCTGCTTCACTCCGTTGGTCACTTCGAATGCCTCTGAGGCAGCTCCTTTGTCCGTGACTCGCGCCATCATACCGTCATCAGCTGACGCACCATTTGAGTTAATCGCTCCGGACAGCCGAATTTCTGCATGCTCTTCCACAGTCCTTCACGATTCACCGTGTCGAAGGCTTTCGTCAGGTCCACGAAGGTAGAGTACAGGTGGGTCCGCATCTCCTGACACTTCTCCTGAAGTTGGCGGGCTGCGAAGATTATATCTGTGGTCCCATGATGACGACGGAAGCCGCATTGGCTTTCCGACAGAAGGCCCTGTTCCAAATGATTACTGAGGCGGTTGAGAAGGATGCGAGCGAAGATCTTCCCCGCGATGTTTAGTAAGGAGATGTCACGGTGATTGTCGCAGACTTGGCGATTCCCTTTTCGCATTTATAGGTGCACGATGGTTGCGTCTTTGAAATCTTGCGGGACCCTGCCTTGACGCCACATCTCCTGGAAGAGCGCAGTCAGGTGATCCATCAGTTGGGGACCTCCGTGCTTGTAGACCTCAGCAGGGATCGCGTCCGATCCGGGTGCTTTCCCGCTGGAGAGCTGCTGCACGGCCCTGATGGTTTCCTGGAGAGATGGCAGGAGGTCTAGGTCCGCGTTGGTCTCCACTTGCGGCAAACGCGCGATGGCGGCGTCGGAGATGACGGAAGGGCGGTTGAGGACACCTCGAAAATGCTCGGCCCATCGCTGTAGGATTTGCGTCTTCTCAGTCAGGAGAGTACTGCCGTCGGCGCTGAGGAAAGGAGCAGTGCCCTTCGTCGGCGGACTGTAGACAGCTCTGATCGCAAAGAAAAAGTTCTTCCATTCGTTGCGGTCCGGGTACCCTTGGGTCTCCTCAGCTTTGCGAGCAGTCCAGGCGTCCTGCATCTCGCGCAGACGTTGCTGAAGTTGGCGGCGACTGCGGTAGAAAGCAGCTTTGTTGTCCTCATTGGGGTGATCTGCGTAGGCTTTGTGTAGGCGGTTCTTCTCAGCAAGCAGATTCCTGATGGCGGCGTCGTTGTCGTCGAACCAGTCCTGGTGTTGGCGGGGAGCGCGACCAAGGACGGCGAACGCCGTTGACTGGACCGTGTCTCGCAGTTGACACCAGCGGTTCTCCACGGAGGCGTTCTCGGCAGCGGCGTCGGCGGCGGCAGCGATTGGAAGGTTGTCTAGCCGTTGAGCTAGCTCATTGCTGAAGTGAAGACGGTGAGCAGACAAAGACAACAAAGCCACATTCAGCTTACCTGGGGGTCGCTTACCTTGTGGGCTCCCGCGATCGCCTTGGCCACCAGCACGTCCCGCTGATCTCGCCTCCGAACGAGGACATAGTCCAGCAGGTGCCACTGGCGCGACCGAGGATGCCTCCAGGTAGCCTTCTCTCGCTCCGGCAGACAGAAGAACGTGTTCGTCAGGATGAGGCGGTGTTCTGCGCAGGTGCGGAGAAGCAGCAGGCCGTTGTCGTTGGAGCCGCGGAGACCGTGGAGACCCAGCACTTCTCTCCAGGCAGTATGGTCCTTGTCGACGCGGGCGTTGAAGTCACCAAGGACAATCAACTTGTCCGCCTTCGGCACAGTCGCCAAGAGGGCGTGCAGGTCCTCGTAGAATTTGTCCCTTGCGGCGGCGTCTGGGCTGCTCATCGGTGGAGCGTAGGCGCTGATGATTGTGGCGAATTTGCCTCCTCGCCGGAGAGGCAGGCGGAGGCTCATCAGGCGATCGTTGATGCCCTGCTGCAAACAGGGCAGTCGTCCCACGATGTCGTTCCGGATGGCGAAGGCGACGCCCGCGTCTCGGCGCTCTGCCTTGGGTCGACCACTCCAGAAGAAGGTGTAACCGGCACCCACCTCCTCCAGTTGGCCTTGTTCGGAGAATCGGGTCTCGCTGAGTATGGCGATGTCCATCTTATAGCGCGCCAGTTCTCGTGCCACTAGCGCCGTCCTCCGTTTCGGTCGGTTGCTCTTTGGATTGTCTAAAAGAGAACGAACATTCCAGGCTGCCAGAATGAGCGGGCTCACCCTGCCAGTCTGGCGACTACGGCGGCGAAAAGTAGGAGGAGGAGAAAAAGAAGAATAGGCTGGAAGAGGAAGAGAGTGATTGTTGTTGTTGTTTCGGTTTTGGCTGTTTCGACCGTGTGTTTTTTGTCTGCGGCCACGGCCAGCCGTCAGACAGCGTGGTTCCCAGCGATCTTTAGGGCACCTTTTCTAGCCCCCCCCCTTCGCGAGGGCAGGCAACGCATCCCTGAACAGGGCTGCCCGGTTATCCCAGACGGCTGCCGGACTCCACTATGGGCCACGACTTTTTGTTAGTGAGAAAACGACCCGAATTAGTCTAGGATCTTTGTGGTATGGTGATGTGATGGATTGAAGTAGGAGAGAGCATACACACGACCTAACGCTATGGGATTTAGAACTAGAGTGGACAAGCGGACACAGTCATCACTCAGAGACAAAAGTGAGGGCACCACTCAAAGTCAAGCACCGTAACACCTAGCTATTAGCAGAGAGAGACATAGACTGACAGACAGTCGCAGCAGGCATCGAGAGTTTCATCTAGCTCTTAACAGACAGACTAGCATATAGAGGGCAGGCAGCAAGAGCAGCATACGACACGGAACTTCAACAAACTATAGGAAGAAACAGAGCAAATGCACTTACCTGAAGAAGAACTTACCTGGTGGCCTCCTGCGATGGTCCAGGCAAAGCCTCGTCTCGACAATGTCGACGCGAAGATCCATCCGGCCAGCGCAGACCGCATTACCGCGCGTGCAGGTGCACGCACGGATACCCTCACCTGGTTTAGCCCGCCGGTCGAGACGGTTGCCCGGGGTGTGGCCGCTGAGCAGAGCCCAGCTACGTGGAGCCACAGGTGTGAGTTAGGTGCCAGCAAGTGGACGCTAGGCGTAGTCTCACCTGTAAGCAAGTGAGCGGCCACTACGACCATCACGTGAACCCACCGCTGGACACCTCTACACCCCAGGTAATTAAGCACACACTAATTCAATGGAAGGTTACCTCCCTGTAAATTACAATGTTATCCAAGTCCGGCGCAATAAACTTCTCAATTACCCAAGCAGTATTAAATCACTAGCGTCGCTTAACTATATGCGCGATTCTGGATGTCCTACAGTTATAGTTAGCAAGTATATCGCATATGAGGCCATTACGCTATTCCGCGTTTTTCGAATAAATTATTTTGTTCTTTTAGAAAGAAATATCAAGGAATTCTCTGCAATGCCAAAGCACTGTCTAGACTTTGGCATATCCGTCGACGAATCAAAGAGGCCCGCTACTTCAAGGAATTTGATGCGTGCATATAAAGATCTATCTGCGGAGGTAATGGGAATCGATGGAACTTACGTAAAAATCGAAGATGAAATTTGATATAATTCCGGTTTCCGCGGACCGCTAAATAAAAAAACAATTTTTTTTATGATTTTCGAATAAAATGTCATGGAAGGTTTTTCGGATATGACGAAGAGTTTTCCAAGATTTCCTGACAGACTACCCCTTCAAGTTTCTGCTCAAACGGAAACAGCCATATTATGAAGGTTGACCTGGCATTATTGACGGCTGGCTACTTTTTCCAATTCGGACATCGAACTCAGTGAGATGATGCTCGTGGAATTGCTGAAGATTTCGTTACACAGATCTGACATTCAGCACATGCGGGCGAGTCAAATCAGGGACCCAGCAGTTTTGGTACACATTATCCAGTATCAAAAGATGTCAGAATTCACAGAGTGTGTTCTGGTTGGCTTAGCCATGGTCATCACCCACAGATCTGACGCCACAATTTGCCGCTGAGTTATAGGGATTAAAAGGTAAATGGACTGGGCGCTAACATTTATTCCTCAAAAAGTAAGATGAATAAAATGGAACACGATGTAGTGTCACAGTGGCGAGTCCGTTGCCACTTGATTGACATCCCCGCGGCACTGCTAGTGGTGGGTACTTAGAGCCCTTACACTGTTCAATTGTACTCTGTTGATAACGCGATTAGACTCATATCACTCATCCACACACACAGAGACACACCGTCGGGATCATTCAATCACCTGCAACGAAAACAGACTCAAAAACGAAGGCTTGGCAAACTGCCATAATGCAACTACACAGCCCGACCCTCAGTGCATTGTCTGGAAAATATTTACAATAATAGAGTCTGCATTATGTCCATCATCACCGGAGAAAAACGGGATAAAACTGCATTGGAAGTGGCAGTAATGCTTTTATAGAGTAAAAAGGAAATTTGCAAGCGAATTGTCAATATTCGCAGACGAAGGTTCAAGCCGGTGCTTAACGGTTTTTTCAGCCAACCTATGCATTTGATGTCACTCGCCGCACTCGTTCGCTATGTTCATGAGCAAATCGGTTGCATCCCATGACCCTCAGTTAATTACCTGGAAAAATTTCAATAATACAGACTGCGTTATGTCCATCAACACCGGAAAAATCGGGATACTTCTACACTGGAAGTGGCAATAATGCTTTTATGAAGTAAAAAGGAAATTTGTCTGCCAGTTGCCAATATTCGCAGACGAGGTTTCAGGTCGGTGCTTAACAGTTTTGTCAGCCAACTTGTACATTTGATGTCACTCAACGCCCTCTTTCGCTCTGCTCGTGGACAAATCGGTCGCATACATCCGAAAAGGGAAAATGGAACTCAAAAATGGCCCCAAGCCTCGGGACGCTAACTACGGCAGGGTTACGGCAGCCAGTTTCAGATGCTATTCACTCAAATAAGCTGCGAGATTGCAAGCCTTTCTGAAGGCCATCTAACCCTCCTTGTGGAGTACATTCGACCGCCAACTGTTGGCCTAGATTCAGTCGCCTGAGTCACCTTACTTCGTGCAGCCCGTAATTGGAAACGGTGTAAATTAGCGCAGAATGATACGGAAGCACGGTTCTATAATTGGCATGATAAACAAAATTTAAATGGGACACGTACAGCCAAATGTCTCCAGGCGTAGAGTCAGGAGGGCGTTGTCAAGCTACGCGGGAAGAAAACGGGAGATTCAAACCAACAGTATGGGGGTTGGAGAAATATAGAATGACATAATTTTCCGAGGCGAACAAAAAATTCAAAGTATACTGTAAAAGGTGTCAAAAAGGGACAACATACGTGGGAACGTACACTACTCGCATCTGCTAGTGTTATGCAAGTCTTGGCGTCAGGCAAATATGCAGGCTCGCAATGGAATAGGGCAGGACTACACGTAAGCGGACTTTCAACCCAACTTGCAGATATTTGGGCATTTGCTGGTAGTTTTAAACCAAATAGAGAATCCCATGAAATTAGGTCAAATTTCGACCGGCGTGACGGTCGATGCCCAACGCGCGCTCCGCTGCAGTCTGAGGTCAGCCACGGTGACCTCCGCGTGATTTCCTCTATAATGACAGTGGACGGACCTACGCAGCATCTACCGCACTCGCTTCTCTCTCCCTCCCACCTGGACTGGGTGTCAACACCGAGTCAAAGTGACTGGAGATGGATTAGGGCGCAGGTGGCTGACACGGCTGTGTAACATGGTGTTAGTCTCACTTATCCCATCCTGAACGCTCGATACAGCATGGCTTTAGATCGATCTGGACCAGAATAGCAGAATAAGTAAAGGTCGATTGGCATATAAAGTCTTCGCTCTGCAACACTGCCAATGCAACATTCTCCCATTTGCTGGGATAAGATGTACCAGGACTTACACTTCTTCTAAATGCCACAAATGATTCAATCACATTAGTTGGTTGAAAATGAACCTGTCTGACCAGTAGTGGGTCTGGAATACTAAAAGGTAGGCGGCTGGCAAATCACACGCCTACATTAGAAACTCCAAATCCGTAATATACAAGCGGTTTTGATAATAACAATAAGCACATACCAACTACATAAATAATAATGCACGTGAATGCGCGAGGTGCACCTGGATTTGCTGTTCCTGTCTGACAACCATCTGTGTAGACGGATGAACAAAGTAGCTATGGGCTCGTCCCTGGGCCCGCTTTTGACGAATATATTCGTAGGCAAGCTAGGAGCTTTCCAGCTTTGTCACCAAATCAACGGTCTGGGATACTAGGGACGCCATGTGGATGATAGAGTCGCGAGCGCACTAAAACAAAACGACGACTTAGTTCTACTGGCTGATATATATCATGCGCACCCATCAATCAAATTTGCGCTGGAAGAAGAACAGTTCGATTTGCTTCCCTTTCTAGACATGCTTCTGAATAGAAAGCTTGACAGTAGCTTTCAACCTAGCGCTTGTCGTAAAAAAGCCTGACACAGCAATGCACCTGATTTGGGAGCTTCATGCCGCTTAACTTTAAAACGTAATTTAGCTCTCTGAGAAGGATCTGCTC